CTCACGCCGGGCGCGTGTGCTTGCGTGCCCAAGATCCCAAGAGGAGAATGGAGGAGAAGGGATTGCGGCGTGGCCATCCCCCCGGGGGGTGATTTCTCGCTTTCTATCTCTCTGTCTCTCTCTGTCTTTCTGGCGAGTGCATGCGCCCTATAGAGGAAAACCTCTCCAAAAAAAAAAAAGGTAGACAATTCAGTGAGATAATAGTACACACCTCTTAGAATGGCCAAGGGGTCAGTAGGTGGCATTGTAATTAAGGCTCTGGACTCCCACATGGCTAACCACAGCTCAAATGTTGTGTGTGCCCAGTGTGTTGATGAAGCTGCTGGATACTGGACTCAAACCACACAACTGGCCATGTGGGATCCAGCTGCCTTAACCTCTGTGCCACATGCTGGCCTGAGATATAGTTTCTCTTGAGCAGCACATTATGGCTATGCCATGGAGCTGGCTTTTTAAAAAATTCATGATAGAGTGGGTGCACATGTACAAGCAAGAGAGAGAAGCACTCTTCATAGGCATGGTCACACTGTAATCCCCCCCTTCCCCCCCCATTTCTTAAAAGAATTGTTTACTTACTTACTTACTTACTTATTATTTCACATGATTTTGCCAGAAGAGGGAGAGGTTAAGTGGAAATCAAGCCGCTAGTTTTGGGATTTGAAGTGTGATAGGCCATGTGAGAAGTCCAGTGCCTCAACCACCATGTCACCTGCTGGCGACATAATCCCTTCTTTTAGTACTCTAGCCTATTGGAATCCTGGGCATATGTACACCTAGCATCATTTTTTGACCTCTGGGCTGGAGACTTGCAATGCAGTCAGCATGTGGCATCTAGCTCTGCCGTCCTGTATGCTACCAACTATTCTAAAGAGGCTGGGCCTTTAGTAAGTGTTGAAGCCCAGTAGAATCAGTCCTCAACTTTGTTGTTCTTCAAATACAGTGTTGGCTATTCTTTATTTTTTTCTCTCTATATAAACTTTAGAATCAATTTGTTGATATCCAAAAAATAACTTGTTTTGTTCGGGGCTAATTTTTTTTTCTTTTTAAGGTTTTTGCCATAGAACACACACGCTTGCTGGAGAGACAGACAGTAAGAGGGAAAGTGAGATCTTACTTACTCCCAGGGAGGATGGCCATGCTACAATCTTTTCTTCTCCATTCTTATTCTGGGATTCTGAGCACGTATGTAAATGCGTCCTGTGTGAGTTTCAAGCCACTAGTTCCAGGACTTGAACCATGGTTGGCCATGTGGGAGTTCAGCCTCTTAGCCACTATGTTCACTACTGATCCTTGAACTAATAATTCTTTTAAGCAAATTATATATTTTATAGAAGAGTATGCTGTGTATATGATCCAACTCACATATAAAAACTTGGCTAATCACAAATTCACATGGAACTTTTTTAGATATAGTTAGAAGCTTGATTTATTGCTTAGAACAAAGTACTTTAACAATGAAATCCTTTTATTGAGTTCACAACCCAGATAATAAGAGATTGCTTTTTTGGCTCAGCCATGGTAGCACAGGCTATAGGTGCTACATTGTAGTGCTGAAGACACATGGGAGACCATGGGTTCAAATTCCCAGGTGACCTGAAACACATTGGTATGCATGTGCACCTACAATCCTGGCTTGCTAGAAGAGAGGTTGGGGGCTCACAGTGTGATCAGATTCTAAGAGGGTACCTCTCTCTCTCTCTCTCTCATTTTCTCTCTCATAAAATAAATGAAGATTTTGCCTTTTTTTGGAGAGGTTTTCGCTATAGGGTGTGTGTGCTCACCAGGAAGACAGAGAGAGACAGAGAGACAGACAGAAAGCGAGAAATCACCCCCCAGTGGGGATGGCCATGCTGTAATCCCTTCTCCTTCATTCTCCTCTCAGGATCTTGGGCACACACACACACACACACATGCCTGGCATGAGTTTAAGCTACTGGGACCAGGACTCGAACTGTGGTTGACTACATAGGAGTCCAGCGACATAGGCATTACGTTAACTGCTGGTCCCAAGATTTTGCCTTTTTCAATTAAAAAAAATTTAACTTTACTTTATTTATTTTAATTTGTCCAAAGATGTGTACCAGGGTGGCGGGGAGAGAAAGTGAGAAAACAAGCTGCCAGGTCCAGGACTCAAACCACGGTTGGCCATGTGGGAGTCCCATGTCTTTAACTACCATGCCACCTGCCGGCCCCAAGATTTTGGTTTTTTGAAGTAGAAGTTTAAATTTCAGATTTTTGGCTTAGTATTAAGGTATTTGCTTAGGGGTTATTAATTCATGCTATAGTATAAAGTGTGCCTTATAGTTGTATATGCATGCCAAATCACAATGTAAAATCAGGTATTGTAAATGTCTCCTAGGCAATGGTAAAAAAAATCTCTCAGGCATGTTTTAAGATTAGCTATGAATTTTTCACAGTTTGCCTGTAGCACATACTTAAGAGCATATATAATAATTAAGCTACAGGTTAACAAATTGCTTGCATTTAAATACTCTGTATTTGTATTTATGATTTAACATTTACATTATGTAAACTTCTCATTTCTCTGGTTTTAGGCTCTTATAATCAATGGAGCAAATCTGGCTGCTCAAGATGATCGTGGATGCACTCCTTTGCACCTTGCTGCAACTCATGGACATTCTTTCACTTTACAAATCATGCTCCGTAGTGGTGTGGTGAGGGACTCCTGCTGATGTAAAGTACAGTCAGATAGATGGAATAGCATTTGGTATTCTGGTTAGCTCTTCCTTATACTGTTTGTGTGCATGTGCACATGAATGTGAATATTTATATTTGTGTATTTTTTTTGGACTAGTCTTGCTGTGTTGTGATCCTCCTGCCTCCTTGGTACTTGGGGCTATAGGCATGTGACATTATATCTGGTTCTTTCATATAGTGTCTTGCTGTATTGTCCATGCTGGCTGTGAGCTCGTCATCCTCCTGCCTCAGATTCCTGAGGAATTAGGAGACCAGGAATACACAGTTGCGCCTGGCTTTTTAGGGTGGGCAGGGAACAGAACTCAGACATCTCCTGTGACCTCAGCCTGCTAATCAGAAGCATCTAACTCATGCTATTACAACTGTGCCTCTTCCTTACTTTTATTTATTTCTTTTTAATAGAGAGATTTTTGCTATGGGGTGCATGTGCTTGCCAGAAAGAGAGGGACAGGACACAGAAAGTGAGAAATCACCCCTCCCCACCAGAGGGGATGGCCACATTGTAATCCCTTCTCCATTTTCTTCTTGGGATCTTGGGTACACATGCCTGGCATGAGTTTAATCCACTGGTCTGGGATTAAAGATTTTTTAAAGATTTTTGCCATAGGGTGTGTGGGCTGCCCAGATTGAGAAAGAAAGAGATGAAGGGGAAAGTGAGAAGACTCCCGGCAGCAGGATGATATGCTGCAGTTCCCTCTCCTCCATTTTTCTCTGGGCATTTTGGGCATGTACACACATGTGCTGGTGTGAGTCCCTCCCCCCACCCCCCACCATAGTTATCTGTTTTATTTTGTTTATTATTATTTTTTTTTTGAGAGGTTTTCGCTAGAGGGTGCATGCGCTCGCCAGACAGAGAGAGACATAGAGACAGAAAGCGAGAAATCACCCCCCAGGGGGAATGGTCACGCCGCAATCCCTTCTCTTCCATTCTCCTCTCGGGATCTTGGGCACGCATGCACACATGCCCGGCATGAGTTATAAGCCACCGGGTCCGGGATGCAAACCGCGGTCGACTACGTGGAAATCCAGCGACATAGCCATTACACTAACTGCTGGTTCCCTTTATTATTATTTTTTAATTTGACCAGAAAGTGTCAAAAAGGGAAAGTGAGAAAGCAAGCTGCCAGGTCTGGGACTTGAAACATCATGTGGGAGTCCAGCACCTTTACCACCGTGCTACCTGTCAGCCCCACTACTGTGTTTTAAGTTGCCAAGTCCAGGGCTTGAACCACTGTCAGCCATGTGTCCAATGCCTTAACCATCACGCCACCTGCTGGTCCCTGTGAAGTTCGTTTTCATAAACTATTTTAGGTGACTAATTATGTTCTTTTTGGAAAGGCTAGTTTATAACATTTCACTGAATCATATTATTAGTAGCTTATCTGTTCAAGTCAGTGGTTATAGTCTTAAGACTAGTTTCTGTGTGCAGAATTAAGTTATTAGACTTAGGTCTCCCTTACTAAATGGAAAGAAACTGAGGCTTGTGAATGCTACCTCTAGGATCCCAGCGTGACTGATAAGAGAGAATGGAGACCTGTACATTATGCAGCCTTTCATGGGCGGCTTGGCTGTTTGCAACTTCTCGTTAAATGGGGATGTGGCATAGAAGAAGTGGACTATAATGGAAACCTTCCAGGTACTTGACAAAATCAAATATGTTAGTTTTTCATTAATGTGAACTTTTAAATATTTGCTCATGTTTGAGAAATTTAAACCGTCATCATTTATTAGTCCCTCACAAGACTCAAGTAGTAAATATGTTGACATGAATGCTTTTTTATCTTGTAGCATGCATATGTCATGTACCTCTCGTGTGACTGACTTTTTTCCAGAGAGGAACCATATCAGCAAAACAGAAATTGACAAAATTAAACTTGGGTTTATTCTTCTACCAGCTTTTTTCTTCATCTACTCTCTCGTATTCCATTTTAACTCTATACCTTTTTGTCACACAGAAAACTCAAAAGATTTTTAAATAGTTTACAGAGAAGACACTAGTATATTTGAGTTAATTTGCTACTATAATTGTCTAACCTACAACAAACTGACCAGTTGGCCCAAGGTTCTAAACACACTGTCTTCTTTAAGCAGCACTGTAGAAATTCAGAAAGATAGAACACAGTGAGATTGGAATGAAAATGATTATTGAATTATATGCTGAAAGTATCTTAAGAAACAAGTACTCATAAAAGAAGTCTAGGCAGAATAATATGGACAAGTCTGATCAAGTCATTTTGCTGTTTGAAGCCTCCTTGAATCCCAGTAAAGCTGTGATTTCTTAGCTTTGCATGCTGGACCTTCATAATCTGTTTGTTGATTTGAACTCTCAGTTTTTGTGTATCTGAAAATGACTTTATTTTTTTTTTCATTCTTTTTTTAAAGCACTTTTTAATTTGTTAATTTAAAAAATAAAATTTTAGGGCTGGTCTTGTTGCCTAGTGGTTAAGGGAGCCAGATCCTACATAATTGACTGTGGTTTGAATCCCAGCCCTGACAGCTTGAAAAATATGCTGGGGGAACCAGCAGATGGTGTAATGGTTACGTTGCTCAATTCCCATAGTGGTCCACTGCGGTTCATGTCCAGGACCTGGTAGCTTGAAATTCGCACTGGGCATGTGTGTGTGCTTGCTCCAGATCCAGAGAAGAGAATGGAGAAGGGACTGTGGCATGGCCATCCACCCAGGGGATGATTTCTCGCTTTCTGTCTCTCTGGCAAGTGCACGTGCTCTATAGCAAAAATGTCCTAAAAAAAAAATAAACCCAAAAACATACCGGCAGTGTGTGGATATATGCCCCAAATCCTAACAGGATGTAGAAATGGAGGAGAGAAGATTGTAGCATGACCATACCCCATTGAGGGGTTCTTTCTCCTGTTCCCTCTCTCTCTCTGTGTCTTAGTCTTTCTCTGGCAAGTGCATGTACCATCTAACAATTTTAAAAATGCAACTTCTGTTTCTTTAATATGTGTAATTATAACCATGTGTAGTATACTTCATAATAGTATAGTATAGAGGTTAAGCATGTAGCCTTGGGATCTAGACTGCTTGTGTTCAAACCTCTTATAAGATTTTTAATCCGACATATGTTTATTGAGTACCTACTCTGTATCAATCCCTCTTCTAGGTGCTGGGGATATCACAACAATAGAAACGGACAAAATCTCTTTTTATGTGGCAGCAAGGGGGGAAGACAGACAGACAGTGACATGAATGAACAAAATGTATATTATTGAGTGGTCAGAAAGTCATGATGTGTTTTTGTGTAGAAAACGAAAAATACCTCATGAGTTGTCAACCCAATATATTAAATAGATATTTGTGTTTGTATAACTATAGAGTAGGAAAGAGGAATAGAGAGTATTAGAAGGTATAAAATTTAAAACAGGGTAGTCAGGAAAGCCTTCACTGAGAGGAGACAATTTGACCAAGACCTGGAGAAATTGAGGGAACAAGGCTTATGGATACCTGGGGTAAGGATGTTTCAGGAAGAAATAACAGGAGATGTAAAGCTTCTGAGGCAGGGGGTGCCTGGTGTGTTTGAGTAACAGTGAATCAGTGTGGCAGGAATAGAAAGGAAGGGGCAAATAATAGATGTCAAGATCTGAGAGATTGCGAGAGCCATTGGAAGGTTTTGACCACAGGAGTAAACATGATTTGACTATGTTTGAGAGGATCATTTTGGCTATTATGTTTATAATAAACTGCTGTTAAGATATGAGGATGGTCAGGGGAGAAATAGGGAGAACAGTTAGGAGGCTAATGAACTTATTTAGGTTACTTTATAGGTTGGACCAGTGTAGAGGCAGCAAAAATAGAGATAATCGGGTTCTGTGTGTGCGTGTGTGTGTATGTATATATGTGTGTATATGTGTGTGTGTGTATTCAATTTTTGGTATAGGGCATGCACACTAGCCAGAGAAAAAGAGAGAGAGGGAAAGTGAAAAAGCACCCCCTTGGGGGATGGCCACGCCACAGTCCCTTTTCCCTCAGTCTCCTCTGGGGATATTGGGCACATATGCCCAGTGTGATTTTTCAAGCTGCGGGGTTCAGGACTTAAACCATGCAGATGGCCATAATGGGACTAATTTTCTCATATAATTATAGAGATGCAGGCTGGGAAAAAGGTCTATTTTCTTTTAATCCCTGTCATGGGAGAGGGATCATCATCTCTCTATGAAGATGAGGGCTGATACGTTATTTCTTTTTCAAGTTATTTTAATTTTGATTTTTAAAATTATTATTATTTTACCTATAGTTCACTTAGCAGCCATGGAGGGGCACCTTCCCTGTTTTAAATTTCTACTCAGTAGAATGAGTAGTGCAGCACAAGCCCTGAAAGCCTTCAATGATAATGGAGAAAATGTACAGGACCTGGCCCAGAGGTTCTTCAAGCAGAATATTTTACAGTTTATCCAGGGGGTTGAATATGAAACAAATGACCCCGAAGAGCAGGAAAGTAAGTAATAAACCAGCATGTAATATGATCTTAATGATAATATACATAGAATCAGTAGAAAAAGAAAAGACAGTAGTTATAAGGCAAATGCCATAGTCAGATTTGTTATATATTGTTGTCCACACATTCATCCAGATTCTTTATTATGAAATATCTTACACAACAGAAATAGATTAGGAGGGCCAGCCAGTGGTATGGTGGTTAAGAGATATCTGAATCCTACCTGGCTGACTGTACAGTTTGAATTCTGGCCCTGGCAGCTTGAAAACCATACTGCGTGCATGTGTTTCCAAAATTCCGAGAGGAGAATGGAGGAAAAGGGATTGTGACATGGCCATCCCCCGGGGGAAGATTTCTTACTTTCCCTCTCTCCTTTTCTCTCTGTATTTATCTTTGGTAAGTGCATGCATCCTATAGCAAACTGAAGGAAAAAAAAAAAAAAGGCTCAGTCACAGTGATGCAGGTGGTGGGGTGCACTATGCAATACTGCATGCAGCCAGATGGGAAAGCATGGGTTCAGATCCTAGATTCGTCTGAAAGATTACCCTGGGCATGCTGTAGGGCACATGAGCAGGGGTGTACCTGCAATCCAGGCCAGCTGGATGGCTGTAGGGAGAGTTGTAGCATAGTGAGGTGGGTCAGGGGTCCATGTCCATCTTTTTCTCAATAAGTAAATACATAAACTTAAAAAAATCTGTATATATAGAGACTAACATAATGTGCACTATTTATATTATTCATTTTCTTTTAAATTTGCTATAGAGTATATGCTATTTCTGGAGAGAGACAGAGAGAAGGAAAGTGAGAAGTCACCCCCAGGAGAATGGCCATGCCAGAATCCCTCCTCCTCCAATCACCTGTCAGGATTTGGGCATAAGCCCACACGCACTTGGCATGAGTTTTAAGCCACTGGGTTTGGGACTCAAACCACGGTTGAGAGGGAGTGGGAGTCCAGCAACGTATCTATTACACCATCTGATGGTCCCTACAACTTTCTTCAAAGATGGGCTTTTCTACCATTAACTCATAGCCCACATAGATAATGCTAATATTTGTATGGCACACTAAAGGTCCTGCGTGTCTTCTCTGATGTCTCATAGTTAAGAGCTCAGCTTTCCTTTTTTTTTTAAATATGTATTTAATTTTATTTATTATTATTATATATTTTTAAAATTTGCTGTAGGGCACATGAGCTCACCAGAGAAAAACAGGGAGAGAGAGGGAAAGTGAGAAAGCAAGCCACCAGGTTCAGGACTTGAACTGTGGTCGGCCATGTGAGAGTCCAGAGCCTTAACCACCCCACTGCCTGCTGGCCTCTCATCTTTTCTTTTAGCAAAGAGTTTTTGTAAATAGTTGGAAACCATCTTCAAGTAAAAGGTATTGCTACATTTTTTACCACAGTGGTTGTAGAAATTTATACTTCATTCGGCAGTGCTGGGTGAAGAATTAGAGAAATACAATATTCAATATTGTTAGACTTTAAAATTTTTACAAGTTGATTGGGTGTGAAAGGCTTTATGTATTTATTTGCTTTTTCTTGATTACTAATGACATTGATTGTCCTTTTAAAAAGTTGTTGATTATTCAAAGTTTTCTATGAATTGCCTGCCTGCGTATGTATTTTTTTTTTATCAAGTACCTTCTAGGTGCAAAGCAGCAGATTTTCACTTTGTGTGTTTGCACATCTACTTCTAGTATGTTTTGCTTTCTTTGCTTCTTTACAAGCAGAGAGGGCACAAGTAATCTGTGCAAATACAGGCCTTGAAAACCTAGTGTGTTTTATATAAAGTGTTGAAATGACCATACCCCCTTGTGTTTTGCAGTGGCATGAGAAAAAAAGAATATGGCTAAGAATAGTTCTGGTACAATTCTTCTAATGTGTTTGAAGTCCTGAGGGGAGAGAGAGTAGCACAATTAGTAATAATTCTATTTTATGATTTTATTTTTATTACTTGTTGTTGCATCAACTGATGCAATAGCTTCATACTTGAGATATTATAGAAACCTGAAATGTAAAACAGTTTAAGGGAGGGAAGAGAATACACTCTTGTGTTTACCAAAATGCCAAACTTTTTTATTCATAGCTTTAGCATTTCCAGGTCATATGGCTGCCTTTAAGGGTGATTTGGAAATGCTTAAGAAATTAGTAGAAGATGGAGTAATCAATATTAATGAGCGTGATGACAGTGGATCAGCTCCTATGCATAAAGGTGAGTTATTATGATTCGTGCCTTATTTTCAGTTCTGATATATTGCTGTTGAGTTACTTGCTTTTTAAAGTATTATTCATCAGAAATGCATTAAGACTAAACTTTTCTCTGGTGTTCTAGCAAACATCAGTTTATTATATGACAAACAGAATGCTTAATTTTCAACTTAAGTGTAATATTCCTTTTTGATGCCAGACATTCACACATTATCATATTTAAAAAAATTATTATTTATTTTATTTTATTTATTCATTCATTTATTTTAATTCGACCAGAGAGAGACAACAGAGAGAGAGAGAGGGACAGGGAGAAAGGAAGCCGCCAGGTCCGGGACTCGAACCTTGGTCGGCCATGTGGGAGTATCCAGCATCTTAACCACCATGCCACCTGCTGGTCCCCAACACACATTATCACATTTGAGGTTAATCCTAATGCAGTTTCTGTTGTGACATTGGCATGTTACCTAAGATGTGAAATGAACTGCTAGCGAATTTCTTAGGACTAACATTTTAAAAATGACCTACAAAATTAATTCATGCTAAAATAGAAACGATAGCTCTTGAAAAAATTTGTAGCAGAATTTTCTTCTTTAAATCATTTATTCTACCAAAATACATTTACTTCCATAGAAATATTTATGAACATTAGGTTTGAATCTTTTTTCAGTATTTCTGCCATTTTTCTATTTCCTTCTTTCCATGTTGAATTTTTTTTTGAGAGGTTTTTAGTTTTTTTTTTTTTTGCTATAGAGTGCATGCACTCGTCAGACAGACAGAGAGAGACAGAGAGACAGAAAGCGAGAAATCACCCCCCAGGGGGGATGGCCATGCCGCAATCCCTTCTCCTCCATTCTCCTCTCAGGATCTTGGACACACATGTACATGCGCCCAGTGTGAGTTTTAAGCCACTGGGTCTGGGACGTGAACTGCGGTCAACTACGTGGAAGTCCAGCGACATAGCCATTACGCTAACTGCTGGTTCCTCCATGTTGAATTTTTTAATTGAAATTTTTTTATTTTTTACATTCAAAATACACACATCACTATGTATTTGTACACTGTGAATTTTCCCAGCATGGATACCATGTATGTTAGTCTAGTCAAAGAAATTACCATATACATTGTCATCAACAGATCATGCTGAATTTTTTAATAGTGGTCATCATTTTTCTTTATTAGAGAGAGTGAGAACATGAGAGTGAGTTGAGAGAGAGAGAGAGAGAGAGAGAGAGAGAGAGAGAACGAGAACACAGGAGGAGGAGGGAGAGAGAGAAAGATATGTTTGAGAGGTTCTTACTGTTGCAATCCTCTGCCCTCACCTTCCAGTTAGGCAGGGTCGCAGGTACATACTTTGTACAGTGTTCGTCCAGGATAGGAGGATTATGACATGAGACCTTGTGGGAAAAAAAAAATATGTGTCTTTCTCTATCATGCTCTTTCTCCATCCCATGAGCTCTCTCATAGAAAAATGTTTGTGTGTGCATGTGTGCGTGTGTGTTTATAATGTGGTGCCCTGGAGCAAAGCCTTGCATTTGTTTACCATGGCTGACGTAACAAAATACCACAGACTGGATTGCTTAAATAACAGAAATTTATTTTTGCATGGTTCTGGAGGCTAAAAGTCCAAGATCAAGGTGTCAGCAGGCTTGGTTTCTTCTGAAGGCTTCTGTCTTTGGCTGACAGATGACCACTTTCTCACCATAGTCTTTATTCTGTACACCAATATATCTGAGTCCTGATTTCCTCCTCTTATTATATAAGGATACTCTTCATATTGGATTTGGACCCCCTTTTATTTTTATTTATTTATTTGGATTTTGCCATAGTGTACACACACTCACTGGAGAGAAAGAGAGAGAGAGAGAGAGAGAGAGAGAGAGAAATAAATCACCTCCTGAGAGGAGGGATAGTCATGCTGCATGCAGTCCCTTCTCCATTTTCCTTTTGGGATTTTGGGCATGCATGCACATGCTCCCAGAATGTTTTTCAAGCTGCAGGGTCCAGGACTTGAACCAGAGTTGGCCATACAGGATCTAGTGCCTTAACCACCACACCATCTGCTGGCTTGACGTCAGCTTATTTTAACTACCTCTTTAAAGGTCCTGTCTTTAAACATAGTCACATTCTGAGGTACTGGGGGTTAAGACTTCAACATAGGAATTTTTGAAGGCAGGGGAGTGCACAATTCAGCCCATAATACATCTGTCACAGCCCCCATTTCATATTCTAGGTATAACTAGTTTTTATTGTTAATGAGTTTGTGGGATGCCATTTAGACACAGTAGTGAAAAATAGGCTCACTTCATGGTGTTCACACAGGAACAGTAAATTAAAGGAAGTTTCATTGTTACATGTTGGTTTTCAGTCTATCCTAGGCATTTCTTCACCATTTGAACTGAGATGAAAATTAAGGATCTGGAAGAAGGTGCTAGAGTCTGATCTATAACATTAGGGTGTCTGGACTGTGGCCATTGTTAGAGGATGTGAAGGTGAAATTGAGGAGGAACCAAAAGAGATTACTTTTTACCCCCTTCCTTGGTATCTGTCCATCGAGGACTCCCGGGGCCAGGGATGAGTCAGATGATAGAGGAGTTATAAGTGGCGACAACTAGAAAAGGGGCATTCTTATTGACTAGCCTTTTCTTGGGGACCATCTGTATGGTGTACCCAAATTGGGCAAGTGAAAAATGATATCTCCTTGTAGTTCACATTTCCCACATTTTGGCAGTCTATTTACTTTCTTCTTTTTGTTTTAATTTTGGCTCAGTAGATAAGCTGTGTGTGTGTGTGTGGGGGGGAGGAAATGGCTAGAGGGATTTTTATATACAAGACTGGTTAGAAACTGTAATAGCAGACAAGTTTCAAATCTAATACATACTAGCTGTGTGATGTTAAATAAATAAATGACATCTGCACAACTTACTTTTATTGGTTACTGGAAGAATCAGTATTTAAGAAGATATTCTTATGATGGTATTGTATAAAATTTTCTAAAATTGTTACAAGTAACAATAACTTTTCATGTGTGATTTATTTATTTGTTTGTTTATTTATTTACAGCTGCTGGACAAGGCCACATAGAGTGTTTACAGTGGTTAATTAAAATGGGAGCAGACAGTAATATTACCAACACAGCAGGGGAGAAACCCAGTGATGTGGCTAAGAGGTATAGACTCCTATCTGCTTTGCTGCTTTCTTTTGTTTTTAAAGGTTTTACATGTATTCTCTTGTACTCAGAAATTTCTGAGGACTTAATGGAGTTTTAGAAGACTTAATCCCAGGTGAAGTGACAGTTTTCAAGCTGACTTGACATTTGACATTATATTAGCTCTTCTCTCTGAAGCAGTGATTTTCAATGGTTGGTAGTATCATCCCTTCCCCTGCTGGGAGGTGAATTTGGAAATGTGGAGGAGGGTTGTCACAGTTGTCAGAGAGCCTCACTGACACTTAACACGGTCAAATTCAGGATCACTTAGTATGTTGCAGTGCTGAGAACAGTGCTGCACAATGAATTGTTATACCCAAAAAACCTGTCGCACCCTGCTGAAAAACACTCATTTCATAAAAATCAGTAATCAACATAGAAAACAGACAGAGAAATCACATGGGTTTGAAACATATCTTGATATCTACATTTGAATTAAACTTAATGTCCTTTATTAAATGCCACCAGCTCACTCAGGTCAGGCCCTCAAGGAGTATGTAGTTCAGCCATTTGTTCATTTGGTTGTTCTTTGATTCAACAATCCTCGTATTTACCAGGTTTCAGGTACTGTGGTTAGTATTAGGATTGCAAAGATAAGAAAACACAATTTCTCTAATCAAGAAACTAAGTCTTGTGGAGAGACAAATATACAAACAAAATTCTATTAATTATAATAACTATACCATATTTTATGGTATGTATAAAGTACAGTAAGAATATAGGAGAAAAAATGCCCACGATTCCAGTTTGAAAGTTGTGAAGGAGAAACATTAATACAGATAGATGGTAAGAATTATGAAGGAGGAGGTCAGTGAGCGATATGGTGGTTGAGGCTCTGGACTCTCACATGGCCTATTGTAGTTTGAGTGCTGGACCTGGTGGCTTGCTCTCTTAAAACTTTCTCTCTCATGAGTGCATGTGCCCTAAAGCAAATTAAAAAAAATAATAAATTAAGCAAATCTTTGAGAAAATAAAGAATTATGAAGGAAACTACAGATAGAGATCAGGGAAAACTTTTTTTTTTGATTTTTGAAGAAGCACCATTTATGCTGCCACTTGAAGGAGGCAGTATTGTAAGGTAACACCTTGTATATTTGAAGAACCACATGTGGTTCAGAACTACTTGAATCTAATATAGGAGTGTGTGCCAACAGTGGCAGATGGAGCTTGATAGGATGCTAATACCCAGTCATTCACTGAATTGCCATGTAGTTTTTGTTTGCGAGCTCATGTTTTAAAAAATTTTACCTGTGGGATCTCTTTGACACTTGGAGTGTGATTTTGTTGTACCATATACCTGGGATCATTATGAATTCAGGTTTATTTTTTTAAAAAAATTTTATCAAGGTGTAAATGATATATAGTAAAGTATATATATTTGTATGGTATGAACTGATGAGTTTTGATGTTTGTATACTCCCATAATCAAGACAGTAAACATATTCATCTCTTCTAAAAGTTTCCTGCTACACTGTTCTTGCTCTCCCTTCCATTGCTCCCCTGTGTCTTTTCCCTAAGAAAACACTGATATGCTTTTTGTCACTGTAGATTATTTTACATTGTCTAGGGCTTTATATAAACAGAATAATATTATATATACTCACATATCTGACTTCTTTCACCTAACATAACTATTTTAAGATTTTTCCATGTGGATTAGTTCATTTCCTTATTGCGGAGTAGTATTCTGTTATACAAAACATTCCATAGTGGGACCAGCAGTTAGCGTAATGGCTATGTCGCTGGACTCCCACATAGTTGACCACTGTTCGAGTCCTGGACCAGGTGGCTTAAACTCACGCCAGGCATGTGTGAGTGCATGCCCAAGATCCCGAGAGGAGAATGGAGGAGAAGGGATTGCAGCGTGGCCATCCAACCCAGGGGGTGATTTCTTGCCTCTCTGTCTCTCTGGCGAGCACACACACCCTATAGCACAAACCTCTTCAAAAAGAAAAAAAAAAATATTCCATAGTATCCCATAGTTTGATCATCCACTACTCTCCTTTTGAAGGGCATTTTATTATATTGATTTTTTGGTGATGATGAATAAAACTTCAAGAAACATTCATGTCCAGGTTTTTGTGTAAACATAGTGAAATAAGAGAAAGGTGCAAAGATTTTCTTCTGTATGTTCTTCTAGAGGTTGTATAGTTTTGGGTTTCATACTGAGATCTATGATTTATTTTGAATTGATTTCTGTATTTGGTATGAGGTATGGATTCAATTACATTATTTTTTTTACATATAGATAGCCAATTACTTAGGCATTATTTGTTAGAAACGCTGTCCTTTCTCTACTACCTTGGTGCCTTTGTCAAATCAGTTCTCTCTCTCTCTCTCATATATATATATATATATACACACACACACACGTATACATATATATATGTATATGTATGTATATGTATATATATGTATATGTGTGTATACATATATATATACACATATATATACACACATATATACATACACACATGCATACTTATTTCTTGTCTTTCTATTTTGTATATTGATCTATTTGTCTATTAGTCATATTTATTAAGCAGCAAGTATGTATTTAGAGTTATCCAAATTTTAGCTCATACTTCTTTCTCATTCTTCTAACAAAATACTAGGTCTCAGTGTAGGGTTATTATAGAGGTAACTTTGAATCTGACATAAAGCAAGCACTCTGTAAGTGATAGCTATTCAGTTACAACCTAGTAGTGGAGATAATGACTTCTGTTATCTTATGACTCTTACATATATTTATATATTTATTACTATATCTTTAATGATTTATAGCACTTGGTGAAAGGTAAGGATATATATGTGGTTATGTAAGTACAGGGAAAATATAGGATTTGAGGTTTTTGTTTTTACCAAGTAATTTTCTGTGTCCTAAGAGAAAGTATTAAGCTCTATTTCAAGTAGCAAAATTGTGGGAAAAGTAGGCAGATTACATGCAATCACAATTCCAAAATCAAGAGTATATTACTTGGAACTTGGTAGAGTTGTTGGGAAGAGCAAAGAGAATACAAAATGTGGATTAAGGGACTAGCAGATGGTGTAATGGTTATGTCACTGGACTCACACATAGTCAACCATGGTTCGAGTCCTGGACCCAGTGGCTTAAAACTCACATGTGCGTGTGTGCCCAAAATCCCAAGAGGAGAATAGTGGAAAAGGAATTGCTGTGTGGCCACTCCCCAGGGGGTGATTTCTTGCTTTCTGTCTGTCTCTCCAGTGAGCACAAGTACCCTATAGCAAAAATCTCCCTTAAAAAAAAGAAAAAGAAAATGTGGATGGGAGGGGCCGGCAGATGGCATAGTGTTGAGGGTGCTGGATTTTTACACGGCTGATTGCAGTGCAAGTCCCAGACCTGGTGACTTTCTTGCTTTCCCTTTCTCTCTTTGTCTGTCTCTCTTTGGTCAAATTAAAAAATAATAATGACAAATGGATTTAAATAATTAAATAAATCTAAAAAAAAGGATGGAAAAAATCTTTTTTTTTTTTTTTGAAGAGGTTTTTGCTAAAGGGGCGCGTGCGCTCGCAAGACAGAGGGACAGGGACAGAGAGATAAAAAGCAAGAAATCACCCCCCAGGGGGGATGGCCACACCGTAATCCCTTCTCCTCCATTCTCCTCTTGGGATCTTGGGCATGCACGCACACACGCCTGGCGTGAGTTTAAGTCACCGAGTCCAGGTCTCAAACCGCGGTCGACTACGTGGGAGTCCAGTGACATAGCCATTACGCTAACTGCTGGTCCTGATGGAAAAAAATCTTTATTATGCTAAGTACTTTGGACTGAGGAAGGATGAAGATCAAAGAGTCTAAAAATATAGTTGACCTACAACTAGATCTAAAACTAATTTTACAGTCTAAAGTAGGCTACAAAAGGCAGCAAGTTCAGGTAATCAAGTAGGGTAGCTCTGGGTTTTCTATTCAGTAGAGCAGCAGTGAACACTTTGGAAGTATACTAGATATTCTTTTGATATTGGGTCTCCTCTCTCAGAGTATTTTTGCCAATAAAAATTAAGAAATCAGTCTTCAAGGGTTTTGGAGCCGGGCTTTGAGGATTGTTAAAATGAGTCTGTGGGGGGACCAGAAGTTGGCGTAATGGCTGTGTTACTGGACTCCCAAGTAGTCGACCATGGTTCGAGTCCCATACCCGGTGGCTTAAACTCATGCCAGGCGCATGTGCGTGCGTGCCCAAGCTCCCAAGAGGATAAAGGAGGAGAAGGGATTACGGTGTGGCCATCCCCCCTGGGGGGTGATTTCTTGCTTTTTATCTCTCTGTCTCTCTCTGTCTCTTTGGCGAGCACATGCGCCCTATAACAAAAACCTCAAAAAAAAAAAAAAGAGTCTGTGGAAGTAAATCCCCAGTGACTTCTTAAGCAAATTATTGGATGGCCAATTGTAGTGAAATTAAATTCTGGCGTGGATTATTGAAGGATCCTGGCTTGCTTGGACGGCTACATGAACATACCCTGGAGCAGACAGAAGAGTACGTGAACCGTCAGCTGAAGAATAAGTATGGGGACACATTCATCCATGGGAACAACATGTTGTACATAAGTACACACAAGAGAAGGATGTGAAGACACCAAGAGAACAATAGTTTTCATAGTTGGATATATTTTTTATGAAATTCTTTTCTAGTTTTTGGTTCTTTAGTGATGTAATTTGTCCTGTTTCATAATAGTTGGGAGTTTTTAACTGACATGTGAGTAAGATAAATGTATACAACTGTGGATTTAATTGTTAAAAGTTCTTTGACATTTAAATTTCAGTTATTTTCTTTTACCTCTATGTCAGTGTGCGGAAAGCCGAAAAAATAAAAAAAAAAGACAAAAAATCCCCCCCCAAAACCAAAAGAAAACAAAAAATGAAATCAGTCTTCACTGTGAATATTTGACTTAGTGTTCAGTAGCTGAGTTTTTCACATAGCTGAATATACATCAAATTGTTACTGACTTTCAGATATAATTTTGCTTTCAACTGATAGGTGGGTTGGTTGCATACTGTAAAGTGTAATCCCCTAAGTTAAATGCAAATTGCAGTTTTGATTGGAAGAAGATGGTGCAACTGGTTGATATTGATTTTTTTTTCTCCACAGGTTTGCCCATTTGGCGGCAGTGAAGCTGTTAGAGGGGCTACAGAAATATGAAATAGATGAGAATGAAATTGATGAAAATGATATGAAGTTTTTTATAAGACATGGTGTTGAGGGAAGCACTGATGCTAAGGATGATTTATGTCTCAGTGAGTCGGATAAAACAGATGCCAGAAGTAAGTATGTTATCTCTGTTGCAATTTATCCTTCACAAATACCACAGCAAGTTTTAACCACAAATTTGAAAATTATCCTATAAAGAATTACTGTCTACAAAGTAAAATAGATATTTTTTGAGGGAGCAGACTGAATACAAATTTTTGTACTAGGGGTTGTTGAACATATGAAGAAATGTAAGACATAGTCTCCATCTCAAAAGAGGGGAAAGTTAAATGAAAGAAAAAAAAATACTCAGGTGGATTTTCGATTCAGATTTTATTGTAAATAGCCATTGGTGGAGAATGATGGGATCTGTTTTGTGTCTATAAATAGTATCACTGTAGCTGTTGGGTAGGTAATGGGTGGAGAAGAGCATAATATTTCAGGTGGATTCTACATCAGGTAGAAGAATGTACTCACTACCTATAGAAGCTTGGATTAAGTTCCTGATATAATCTAAATTTGCCAAAGATACTAAAGTAAAGTGTATGAGAGCAGATGTAGTATATCTGCATAGATTACCTGGCTCCTAGAGTCCTTGATACAAATGATACAGGAAATCTCTATTCTTGTTTTGCTTTTCTAGAGGATTTTTTTTTTTAAATCACCGTTCCACTAACAACCTATATATTTCCTTTTAAGGTAATACTTATATATATTTCTTAGTTATTAAACCAAACTTAGCACAGTCTAACCATATTTTATCAAGAGGATGCTGAGGAAAAAAGCCAGATCAGGATCCAGTTAGCCTTGAGTAGTTTTGCCCCTACTTCCAGTGTTGTGGAAAGCTTGTTTCCCTTCACAGGGCAAGAAAAGGAGCAGAGAGAGCAGTTAGGGGGTTGTCCTTAGTTCAGGACAGAGTTGATTATGGTTGGATTACAGTGGAGGTGATGGAGATAGTAAGAAATGGAGAGATTTGAGTGCATTTTGAAGAAGTTGATAGGATTTGCTTATGGTTTTTGATGTGTGGTGGTAGAGAATGAAGGCAATCAAGGATTGGGCAGCCAGGTGAATGGTAGCGAGTTTTAAAGGACTATTTACTGAGGATAGAGTAGCAGTAAAGACTTTTCAGAAGTGGCATTTGGACTTCACCTTGAAGTATAGCCAGAATTTAGGTAGGAAAAATGGATAAGGAAGACATTCTATTTATTCAACATATGTTTGAATATATATTGTGTATACAGCCCTAGGTTAAGGGTTATGTCAGTGCATCATAAGGAATCCTGGTTTTGGGAATTTACATGGTATACTATCAAAATACCCATTGTATTCCATAAATATGTACAAATAGTATTTGTCAGGTTAATATAGCAAAAATTTTAAAAGCTGTGGAAGTGTTGATCATCTGCTTAAGTTGTATAGCAGTAAGATTAATAAACTACCATATTTGTTAGTGGGACTTTCTAAAACAGTTTTGTAGTTTTTACAGTTTTTTCATACTAATTGCTTTATGGAGATATATATCAAAGACTTAATTTTCATGATTATTCCCTGAAGAATAATCTCTTTCCATTAAGTAGTATCTTAGTGTACTTGAGCTGCCATAATAAAATGCATTGGGTAGCTTAAACAGAAAATTATTTTCTCATGGTTTTGGAAGCTAGAAGTCCCATACCAAAGTCTGTTGGGATTGGCTTCTTGTGGGGGCATTATTCTGTCTTTGATATGGCTGTGTCCTCACATGGTGGGGAGAGAGAGTGAGCAAGCTTTCTGTTGTCTCTTTTTTGTAACGTACTTATCTCTTGATACCAGGATTCTACCCATGTCATCAAATCCTGATTACCTTCCCATGAGTCCATCTCCAAATACCATTGTTTCGGTGGTTAGGGCTTCAACATATGAATTTTTTTTCTTTTTTTGGAGAGGTTTTTGCTATAAGGCATGTGCGCTTGCCAGAAAGAGAAAGACAGAGAGACAGAAAGTGAGAAATCATCCCCCAGGGGGGATGGCCATACTGCAATCCCTTCTCCTCCATTCTTCTCTCGGGATCATGGGTACTCATGCACATGGGCCCGATATGAGTTTAAGCCACTGGGTCTGGGACTCAAACCACAGTCGACTACATGGGAGTCCAGCGATATAGCCATTATGCTAACTGCTGGTCCCAACATATGAACTTTTGAGAGACCCATCAGTCCATACAAATGGCTAAACATTAAAATGCTTCAAGTTAGCGAGTAAAATTGAGAGTGCTTCTTTTTCTCAATGGAACATGTAATTAGATTGACTAGAAGCCAGCAGGACAGTGGCTTAGTTCAGTGTTATATTTATAATTGAACGTATTGGAACTAACTCTCTTGCAGTGAGAGCTTATAAGAAAATTGTAGAATTGAGGCACCTCCTGGAAATTGCTGAGAGCAACTATAAACACCTGGGAGGGATAACAGAGGAAGATCTAAAGCAGAAGAAAGAACGGCTGGAGTCTGAAAAGTAATACCCTTAAAAACCTTAATGATTTATTGTTAGTTATCTCTCTAAATGCTAAGTGAAGATTTGCTGATCATCAACCCTGCCTGAGTGTTGGGTTCCATCCTGTTTTTCTTGTAAGCCCCTAGATAGAAAACAAATTAGGATTTTTTTTTTGAGCGATTTAAAATTTTTTTAAAGAATTATTTATTTTAATTTTATTTGTTCATTCACTTTTATTTTCATTTGACCAGAGAGAGACACACAGAGAGAGAGAGAGAGAGGGAAAGTGAGAAAGCAAGCCACCAGATCTGGGACTTGAACTGTGGTCAGCCAGGTGGGAGTGTCCAGTGCATTAACCACCACACCACCTGCTTGCCCCTTTTGGGAGATTTTTGCTGTAGGACACGTGTGCTCATCAGAGAGAAAGTGACAAATCGCCTCACAGGGGGGATGGCCACACTGCATTCCCTTTTCCTTCATTTTCCTCTTGCAATTTTGGGCATGCATGGGCATGCATCTGATGTGAGTTTCAAGCCACCGGGTCCGGGACTCACACTATTGTTGGCCATGTGAGAGAGTCCAGTGCCTTAATTACTGTGCCACCTGGTGGCCCCAAGATTTAAAAAAAATTGTGATAGAATAGATATAACCTAAAACTTATCATCTTAACCATTTTAAAATGTGCATTCAGTAATGTTAAATATACTCACATCATTGTGCCACTAATCTCCAGAACTCTTTTCATCTTGCAAACTGACACTCTATGAGAAATATATCACCAGGCACACTTCCTACTTAGGTCCTTTGCACTTGTTCCCTCTGTTTGTAGTGTTGTACCACCAGTGTCTCCATGGTTATATCTCTTATTTCCTCAACGACTCTGAAGCCTCCTTCTCAGTAAGGTGTTCCCCAGCCACTGTGTAGAAGTGTTGACCCCCCACCTCCACCATATTTTATATTACTCTTTTCTGCTTTATTTTTTTCCTCTTAGCATTTATCACTTTCTAATATATATTTTACTTATTTTCTTTTTCTTTTTTAAAATAATTATTTTTATTTATTTATATTAATATGACCAGAGAGGGACAGTGAGAGAGAGAGGGACAGTGAGAGAGAGAGAGAGAGAGAGAGAGAGAGAGAGAGAGAGAGAGAAAGAGAAAGAGAGAAAGCAAGCCGCCAGGTCTAAAACTCAAACCATGGCTGGCGATGTGTGAGTCCAGCGTCCTCAACTACCATGCCACCTGCCGGCCCCTATTTTACTTATTTTGTATACTGTTTGTCTTCTTTCTCTTCTAATGTAGGCCCAGGAGGGCAGATTTTGACTTCTTTTTTTAAAGAATTATTTTATTTAACTTTATTTATTTACTTATTTTTAAAATTTGACCAGAGACGGACAGTGAGAGAGTGCGAGAGATAGAGAGAGAGAGAGAGAGAGAGAGAGAAAGAGAGAGAGAGAGAAAGAGAGAGAGAAAGAAAGTGAAAAAGCAAGCTGCCAGGTCTGGGACTCAAACAATAGTCAGCTATGTGGGAGTCTAGCATAGTTAACCAGTACATCACCTGCCGGAGCCTAGATTTTGAGTTTTGTTCACTACTATATCCCTAGTACCTAGGATGGTGTTGATTCATAGCCCCTCAATGCCATTATTTCCAAAGATAATTGCTAGTTGACATTGAAGATTGATGAAAAAAATTGTTTTAACAGGACCATCAAAGAACTACAGGGCCAGCTGGAATATGAACGACTACGTAGAGAAAAATTAGAATGTCAGCTGGATGAATATCGAGCCGAGGTGGATCAACTCAGAGAAGCACAGGAAAAAATCCAGTTACCCAACTTTGTGGCTATGGTTGGTATCTTTCAAATAAGTTTTATTTTTTCTCAAATAATTGGGTTTAGATAATGTTTTGTCTCCCTCCAGGCTCATGTATTAGAATTTGGTCCCCAGGGTTAGGTCATTGGAAGGTGGTGAAACCTTTAAGAGATGAGGCTTAATGGGCCATGTTTAGATCTTGGAGGCCTCCTTTCATGAATAGATTAATACTGCCTTGCACCACAAGACAGTGGTGTACAGCTCTTGTGAGAAGGAGTAATAATAGTTCCCACAAGAGTGGGTTGTTATTAAACGAAGAGGGCTATCCCCAGCTCTCTTTCCTGCATGCACCTGCTCTTCTCTCTGCTTTCATCAGCCATATAGTGACATAACATTGGAGGTTGGCCTCCTGATGCCAGCCCTATATCTCTGGACTTTCAAGCTTCCAGAATTGTAAGTCAAACAACCAGAATTGTAAGCCAAACATTTTCTATTGTTTTCTTTTTCGGATTTTGTCATAGGGTGCATTTGCTTGCCAGAGACAGAGGGAAAGTGAGAACTGACCCTCCAGAAGGATGGCCACACTGCAATTCCTTTTCCTCCATTCTTCTCAGGATGATTTTCATGCACACATGCCAGGAATGATTTTCAAGTCTCCAGATCTGGTACTTGAACTGTGGTGGGTCAGTGGGAGTCCAGCACCTTAACCACCACGCCATCTGTAGACCCACAACTTCTATTTTTTTAAAAAAGAACTATTTATTAATATTATTTTTAAATTTGATATAGGGCATGCGTGCTCACCAGAGAGAAAGGAAGAGAAATTAAGAAAGTAAGCTGCCAGGTTTGGAACTCAAACTGCAGTTGGCCATGTGAAAGTCCAGGGCCTTAACCACTATACCACCTGCTGGTCTCAACTTCTGTTCTTTATAAATCACCTAGTCTCAGATATTTTTGTTAGTAACACAATAGTAGACTAAGACTATATATATGTGTGTGTGTGTGTGTGTGTGTGAATGTGTACATACACACAAACATATATACATACATGCAAACATATATACATGTATCTATTAGGTCATTGGGAAGGTCATGACGTATTTATCTATGTTTTTCTATGTAAAAATGCATCATGACTTTCCCAATAGCCCAATATATCTATATCTATCTGTCTATGTGAGAACACTAGCTTGGTTCATAAGTGTGTAGTGTTATTTTACTGTATAAGAAGAAAATATTTCTAAGGCAGCTGGAGAGTATGTATATTTTAATATTCAAAATAACAAAATAAAGTTCTTTGAATGGAATTCATTTTAGAAACCTTTAGTCCTACAAAAAGTAGTTTTAAAAGCAAAAGAAAGCCAGTATAGAAGTTGTTATAGCATCCTTTGGCTCAGATTACAGTAATAAAAACTAGCAATTGTATAATCCTTTATCTTTACTAAGGTTTTTCACATGTTATCTTATTGTATGACATTTGATCTGCCCATATATATATAT